ATAAAAAAATAAAGATAAAAGAATCAATTGTTTAACCCAGGAGACACAAAAGTAGTACAAAGAAAACAAGTAATAATATTTCCTTGTATGCTTCATCTGTGAATAACAGGTCCACTGTCATACATAAATACTGACTTAATTGGGAACTGTAAAGTATGAGTAATAAGGAAGGATGGCTATATGAGACAGTTTAAGGTCTCAATTTCCAAAACAGAAAACTATACATAAAGTCCAAAGGTGAAAATCCAAGAAATACAGAATAAACATTAAAAACAAAATAAACAGGTCACTAGGAGAAGGAAGTACCTACCACCACACCCAGCTACAAAGTGGATTTTTAAAATTATTTCCAAAGAAAAAAATCAATTTTATATGGCATAGACTAGTACGTTTCAATAACACTATAATAACATTACTGCTGATTTTTAGAATAAACAGAATCCAGTACTGATAAGTAATGCTTAATGGAAAACGTTACCTCTTACAGACGTTGTTGGAAGATAATGGATCTCAATTTTGATTAACAAAAAACATTATCAGTGTTGTAATGGATGTAGTATTTGTTACTAAAACTTTTAGCATAATTTAATCTACTTTGATGCCATAAAAGTTACTTTACATTTTTTTCAACTATCATATTACAAAAACATTAGTATTTATCTTGTTGATAAAGATTTTGACAAACAAAATGGTGACTAATAATACCAGGCTGTATACAGGTTCCTCTGTTGATATAAAAAAATGGCTAAATCACTTGCAAAATTAAAGTTCTATGAAATTGTGGTATTATAGAAGGCTACTGAAGTGCTAATTGTGGTTACTATTCTGTTTATCTAAAACTTCCCTTATGATTTAAGAGTAATCCTAAAAAATGACTTATGCCATGAAGACAGGTAATTTATAAATGGACTGGAGTTGGTTTAAAATTAGTGACAATAAAGCCAGGCGTGGTGGTACATGCCTTTTATCCCAGCCTGCACCAGACCAGCTGAGGCTAATAGGGAGACCTTGCATCAAAAAGAATCCCCCAAAAGTAACAATAGTTTTTAACTAATTTATTGGTTATGTTTATTGATATTAAAATTTTATTTAAATACTATATTGTGAAACCCAAACCTATCAAAATTATAAAAGTCCACTTTTACTAAACTCTTTTTTTAAACATTTTATTATTATTTTTATTTTATGTGTTTGCGTGTGTTGCCTGCATGTAGGTAAGTGCACCCATGTTGTGCAATGCCCTCAGAGGTCGGAAGAGGCTGTTGGATCCCCTGGGACTAGAGTTACAGATAGTTGTTAGCTGCCAAGTGGGTACTGGGATTTGAACCCGGGTCATCTGCCAGAACAACCAGTGTTTGTAACCACTGAGCCATCTCTCCTGCCCCTAATTTAAACTCTTACAAAAAATTAATCTGAGCTTAGTAACCTAAGGCAGGGCCTGTCATAACCTTTTCTCCATTTGTAATTCCTTTTCACCTGAGTAATTTTTATGTGAGCCCAGGTATACAGGCATATAATACTGGTTTAAAAATCAAATCAAATATTTACTGATAATAAATTTAAAATAA